TCTCTCTCTCTCTCTCTCTCTCTCTCTCTCTCTCTCTCTACATATCTCCAATCACAAAAGTATTATTATGATTATGTTACGTCTCCTTCGAAAATATAAAATTTTAGTAACCACTATTTTCCTATTTATATTGTCAAAAATAGCGGAGATATTCGGGATGGAAGAGGCAGAATTATTGTCTCACCCTATATATTACGTCGAAAAAAAGTAAAAAGATTTATCTCCCTAGAGTTACACGAATTTTATCCCGCAAACTGCAATCGTATAGAAGTGGAAGAAAAATTTCGTCAGATTGACAATCTGACGTAGGAATTTAAACCACAAAAATTAGTGAATAAAAGATTCACAAAACTGAAACTTAGTTCAATATACAATGTAGATATTGTTTCAACTATTATATACACAAGATTAATCTGACTGCATAATATGCATAATCACTGCGTGATTATATATCTGGTTAAGTGATTAAGTAAATCTAACAGTAAATACGTGTAGTAATGTGTTGAGTTAGTTTTATGATCACCTCATTCAACTAAATTTTGAACTTGCCATGCACAAACAAGAAATTAAAAGAACATGAAATTTTCGCTGAAAAAATTAAGACAGTTAATGTGTCGTGTACAACCATGAAATTAAATTCATTTAACATTTAATATGATTTCAACTGTTTCGACTGATCTATTTTTGCAGTGCAGCTGTAAAATTAATGACCCTCTTTTTAACTACGTAATTTCGTTACGTTAATTTTACAATTAAAAATAAAATTATTAGAACAAAGGGAAATTAAATTTTCGAAATATTTATAAACTTGCTGAATCGCTTGAATGTGCGATCACAAGTGTCACTTTATGGATGTATCTTTTTGTCTGAATACATTTTATATTTATCGATCTATATCTATTATCTATCTATTTATCAATTTATTTAGTTTGTAAAAAAATTTTAAGAGTATATTTTTGCTTCTGACATTATCAATAAGAATAAGAAAGCAGAAGCCGTATAATATTGCGTAAAATAAAAGTTTACTATTTTTTTCATTTCTGAAAACTTGACGAAATATATCGTTGTAAAGATTCGTGCTCGTAAAACATCGGAAAACGCCGGGAAATACCATAGCCGATTCTCGCGGCTGACGCGCCACGAGCGGAAGTAAGTCGCAGGAAATCGCTTGCACGTGGATTTTCTAGTCTTGCGACGTCGTAATCCGAGACAGTCGCCGTAAAGCCTGTATCGCACTAGCGATTGACGATTAAATTGCGATCGCGATTGGCGATTAGCGACTACTTTTCTGCCAATTAGAGTAAAGCAGCCACCAATTAAGGTTAGAGACTGCGAATTAGAAAATACCATAGACTTAGTATATATAGACTGCGTGTTCTCAATATTTCTTATAGTTTAAACATGTCACAGAATAAAAAGACTTAGTATGCTTTCGATCACCATTCTGTCTTTCTCTAAACGCGTCGTTAGAAAAAAATAGAATGGTGATCGAAAATGTTTTATCTCTTTCTATTTCGTGACGCCCGCTCAGCCCAATACGCAGTCTACATATACTAAGTCTATGGAAAATATACTCTTTTTTATAAGAATCAATCACAATTCATTCGCGGTGATCGCTAGTGTGATACAGTTTTAAAGGCTCTTCTACATTGGTCGCAGTGTCGGTTGCGATGTTTTTCACCACGATAATCTTATGATATGACAAGCTTATGATATGAACTTGCCTGACGATATGCTTACAGACTCCCATTATATATAATACTCGAACTATGCTATCTCAGGTTGTCAACTAGACATAATGAACTAGACACAGTCTTGCTGTTATTTCGAAAAGGCAAAATGAGTATATAAGCGGTCTCAGACTCTTCTCCGCAATTTTTGTGGGAACGTAAAACGGATTGAGATGAACATAAAAGTCCCATACCGTTTTGCAATAAATCTTGAGATATTAATTAAAGAAAGTGAACGATCACGCGTAATGTGATAGATAAATTATAGTGGCGCCATCTGCCGTTGTATGTTATATTAGATCAAACTGAACAAGAATTCCTCTACCATTTTGCAAATGACCGCATAGATTTTTAGATATTAATTAAAGAAGATTTGTGTATTATCGCGTACAATCATATAACAATTTTCTTCCATTAATAACTAAAAATCTACGTGATTATTTGCAAAATAATAAAAGGCTTTTTGTTCAATTTGACTAAATATATAAGCATACAACAGCATATCGCCACCACAACTCAACCACCATATCGTGCGTCTTTAATTAATATCTCAATTATTATTCGCGAATATCGCGAAACGGTATAGGACTTTTATATTTATATTTACCTCAATATTTTACCTCAATATTTACTTTTATATTTACCTCAATCCGTTTTATGTTCCCATAAACATTACCGAGGAGAGATACTCTGTATATAAGATGTGATAAAAAAATGTGTGATAAAAAATTCGAACTTTAAAGAGTATATGATACACTCGCGATTGGAAAGGTTGTCTAGTTTTTTTTTCTTTTTTGTAAGTTTAAGGACCTATCCTTCTTATCTGATGGGAGAATTTATTATCCAATAAAAAAGCTCTTTTATTGGACAAGACGGATAGGTTCCGAAACTTACAAAAAAAAGACAATCTTTTCGTGAAAATGTACACACAAAACGAAACTCATAATATTATAAGCTTTGGCTTCTAAGTTGATCAATTAGAATTGAACAACCGATATATGTGCTTTTCTGAAATATATATGACTCATCTCCACTACCATTTACGAGGGTGGTCTGAAAAGTTTCCGACCTAACAAAGATACAAGTCATTTTTTCTGAAAATTGTTTTTTATTTTTCAACATAGTCTCCTTGTAAATCTACACACTTCTCCCAGCGATGCTCCCATCTCTGTAACCCGTCGAAATAGTACTCGGCGTTTTTCTCTGCAAAATAA